CCAATTGCTTTAAAGGCTGATATTCAATAGGCACGGTTAAACAAATTTGGTGGGACTGCCTCAAAATGAAAAGTTATTGGATCAATGTCTACTAACTTATCTCTACAGTACTGTGCAAAGATATACATAAAAACCCATACAAAGCACTTCTTTACCTAACACCAGTAGAATGTATCAATATTCAGTTCATGTTTACTGTTACTACAGCTAAGCAGACCCTAGAAAAAGCATGGTGGTGTACTAAACCAACAATAGAACATGTTAAACAGCAGAGGGCATGGTATCTGATTAACAAACTGTCCACAATTGAATGACACCGTACCTAAATTTAAAGAACATCTGGTCAAAGATAAATTGACACATACAATAACGGCAACAATGTTCATTAACAGTTATATGAATCCAATGTACAAAAAGATAGATAAATCCACAGTGCTATAACAATTGTATGTGTCCTTCATTCAAGATAAATAATGTTATGAAAAACCCTCAGCAAATGTAATTCCCTATCGTTGCAAATGTGCAAGAAAAAGAAATGCTTCACAACTTCAGTGTTTATCTCCAGTCGGTGCTCCAAAATATGTCTACTCCTCCACCCTAAACACTTCACCGGTGGAAACATACCCACCGATTTGAAAAGACCACTTTAACTAATAAGTAGGTCAAAGAGACCACTTGATGTATTCAACACAGATGTACCACAGGCTTCCATTTGTGTTTAATACATCGCGTGCTCTCTTTGACCTACTTATTAGTTTAAGACATATCAATTCAGTGAGTTTGTGGGGAAATGTTTAACCACTTCCGGGCCGGCCGTAGTAAAAAAACGGCCGGCCAGGAGCTCTTTAGATCTGAGCGTGCGTCTTTAGACGTCCGATAAATGGTATAAAATTAATTTCAGTACAGCGCTGCATGACGGAATAAACGTCAGTCAAAGTACCGCAGCGCTGAATACTGAAAAATGGCCTGGCCAGGAAGGGGGTCTAAACACCGCAGTCTTGAAGTGGTTAAGGAGGGGGAGTAGACACATTTTGGAGCACCGGATGGAGATGGACACTGCAGGTTTCTGAGTTTGTGAAGCATTTTTATCTTGCACTATTTATACTTTTGAGACTACGGAGGGGTTAGAGTCACTGAGGTTTTTTTTTATAACATTATTTATCTTTGACGATGGATATTGTATTATTTTAATGAAGGACACATATTTGTCTTTCACCAATATCTATTGCACAGTGGATTTATCTAACAGTTATTGCGCATTGGATTTGTACAACTTTTAATGCATATTGTTAATGCTGTTTTAGTTTTCAAGCACCATGTTTAACTTTACATGATCCCTTTATATACTTTGTGGTATTTATACAGCAGCTATGTATCATTATATAGAGATGGGTGCACAGTCTATTATAGTTCATATATGTATACTAGGGCTGCAACAACTAATCGACTAAGTCGATTATAATCGATGATGGAAAACGTTGTCAACGTTTTCCATCATCAATTAGTTGGCATTCAATTAGTTGCCCTGCTCGTGGGATTTAAGTCTATTCTTCATGGCGAAACTGCTCCAGCTCATTCAAGTTAGATGGGTTGTGTTTAGGGTTGCCAACTTTTCTTCAAGCGAAATGGGGGGGGGGGGGGGCAGTAGCCCCTATCTTAATTTTGGTTGCCCCTGTCTGCCTGATATGATGTGTCTGAGTTTCAGCTGCCATGAAATCGGGACACAGCATTCCAAACCCGGACTGTCCGGGTGAATCCTGGACAGGTGGCAACCCTAGTTGTGTTGGTTGTACAGCAGTCATCGAGTGACGCCAGTCTCTCAATTGGATTGAGCTCTGAGCTGGGACTAGGATTTAACCCTTGGATCGCTGCCAGGGCCTTTTTTTTTTCCTTTCGTTTTTTGCACCTATGTTATAATCCACATTTTAGGCCTGATAATTACTTTTATATTTTCTGAAAGCCAAGACCCTGCAGAATTAAATGTCAGCAGTTGCAAATTTTGATGTTGCACGATATTAGCGCAACTTATTATTAAACCCCAACATTAAGTGAAAAATGCACTTAAGTTGTTTTCATGGCTACAAAACACAATATAAAACCCATTTTTTTGTAAAATATAAAAGATGAGGTCACAACGAGTAAATAGATAACCAACATGTCCAGGTCCAAAAGACCTCTAGTGTCACCTTTTCACTTTAAATAAGCTATTGAAGTGCAGATCGCAGTTCAATAACTTATTGCTCGGCTTCAGGAACCCAGCAATGACTGCTCTGGGACCGGAAGTGATGCAATCTGCGTCTCTCCCGGTCCCATAGAGCGGGGTGAATGGATGATCGTCGGGAGTCTGTTTAAATAGGCCCGCTGCCAATGATGTACTATGTATGTCAGTGGATGCGAAGGGGTTAAATGTTTCTCTTTAACCAATCCAGTGTAGTTTTAGCAGTATGTTTTAGAGTCATTATCCTGATGAAAGGTGACTCTCCATCCTAATCTCAAATCTGTGGCAGACTAAAACGGGTTTTCTTCAAGCATTACCCTGTATTTAGTGTCATCCATTTTTCCTTGAAGCCTGACCAGTGATAAGTTGTAGTGCCATTCATTTCAAACAGCACCCCAATGAACCTTACCGGCACCGGCATCTTCACACATATGCTTTTCACCTCACAACAATGCACAGAAGGGAACCATCACTATGTTGTGGTGTGCTGCATTGAAAAAAAGGCTCATTGGTTTGCATCGTATCTACCCCTCAGTGTGGCAGCTCTGCTGGTCGACTGTGGTATAACAGGCACTCAACTACATATATGGTGGGATTGCCCCAGGATCGTGCCTTTCTGGCGAGAGATCTGGGCCTGGATCGAAGATATCCTTGGCATTGACCTCCCTTTCCTTCTGGCCCCCTTCCTGCTACACTCTGCACCTCGCCCTTTGACCAAATATAAATCTAGTCCTCTCCCCCATTTACTGAATGCAGCCAAACGTTTGATTCCTCGGCATTGGAAGACGGCAACGGTACCTACGGTGGAGGAGTGGAGCAGGCTGGTATGGGACATCCAGACATCTGAGGAACGGATTGCCACATATAAAGATGATTACGCTAAATATTACAATATATGGGTCACCTGGATCCATTACAGCTCAGAAGGGAGCTCTACTTAGAGATGGTGACATAACCACCTGAAGTGTGGATTGTAGGTCTTTAAGATCTATTAATTGCTCTTGAAGGTACGCTGCGGTTGACCGAATACATATTGAGGGACCTGGCGTGGTGGACATCCAAGCTGATCTACCCATCTTTCTTGGATTCTTTCTCTCTATAGTTTCATACATTGTTTCATACCTGGGCTCTGTCTGTCTTTCTTCCCCCTCTCTCCTTCTGACCCCTTTTCCACACCTTACCCCTCCTTAAACCCACCACCTTCCTCTCCTTTCCCATGGTCTCTCTCCCCTCCCCCTCTTATGGCTGTGCCTACCACTGTGCCTGTTATCAATTACAATATATGGGTCACCTGGATTCATTACAGCTTAGAAGGGAGCTCTACCCCTTACCCCTCCTTAAACCCACCAGCCTCCTCTCCTTTCCCATGGTCTCTCTCCCCTCCCCCTCTTATGGCTGTGCCTACAACTGTGCCTGTTATTAATTACAATATATGGGTCACCTGGATTCATTACAGCTCAGAAGGGAGCTCTACCCCTTACCCCTCCCACGTCCTGTTGTGTCCGCATGACAGGAAGCGAAGGGAAATATCCTCATTGATCAAAAAAACATAATCCAAAAACTGCAACTAAAAAAAAAAGGTTTGGTCTATACATACACCTCTGTATTGTGACACCGAGTATGACATGGCAAGCATGGGCCTATATACAATAATGGGAGCCCCCCCACGTGGCAGTGGCATAGCGAGGAGGGGCAGGTGCTCCCAGGTGCTGGTCTGAAGAACATCCACAGATGGGCATACCCGTCTAAAGGGATGCCCTGGTTGATAAAACATCGGTGACGGCTGGAGGAGAGCTGAATGTATTTCACTGAAACGGATGTTTTATCAAACAGGACATCCCCGGCATCCCTTCAGATGTACATGTGCCTGCCTGGCCCTGGATGTCCTTCCAGTGATCAGGATCAGAAGGGCTGGTGCACACCTAGGTGATAGCTCACAGCACGGCAATCGTGCACGATTCTGCGCGGATTGCCACGCGATTAGGTGTCGCCTAGGTGTGCACCGATCACGCTGTGGGTGGCATTATTTTTTAATGGCAACCCAGTCGCGCCGGGCAGATTGTGCGGTTTAACAAAACAGCACTGGAGAACGAGGTGATTTGAAGGTGGATCAGGAGGGGAAAACATAGGCAAGGGAACAGTTTGTCTAGAGCATTAAACTATGGATTGATTTGTGGGGGGGCGCTAATTAAAGACTTGTTACAAATCAAATCAAATCTCTTCCTAAAGTTAGGCCAAAATGTATTCTGCTAAATGTTTTTGATAAAGCAAATCCCAATAAGTGTATACTAAGCGGTTTCTATGAATTGGTACCAATTATAAGTCTTTTTAAAACATGTTTTTTATCCATATGGTGTCAAACAACAAAGTTGGTATTGCTCAGGGTAAAGGATTGGTTTAGGAATGATATGGCTGGTATACAGTATCTTTTTTTCAAACCTTGGTGTGTCTGCTAAAGTCTGACCCCCCCAGGAAAAAAAAACATCTATGTCCCTGGGGAGCGGGTGAGTTCTGCCGAAAGAGGGCACTTGGCCACTACGAACTTTTCTAATGTGCCTCGGTTCATTACAAAAGCCCTTAGCAATGCAATACCCACACTAATATGACCCCAAACGCAGCATTTCATTCAGGAACATATATGAATTTATTCTAACATATCGCTTTTCCTTCCATGAGACACTCCTGTAAAAGCGGTCCGGATTTTAAATCATGGCCGAGCACAGGCTTCCGCCTACAGTCGCACATTCGGTGACGTCTTAGCACCCAGTGTCCAGTGCGAGCACAGCTACCATGGTGATGGGACGTAGAGCGCTCGGGTGTTTTGCGACGCTTCCGGCTGCAGTGTACGAGTGGCGGTGATTTGGAGTGTGGGGTCGGGCTTGGTGCAGGCCGCAGTCCTCGCCATGGAGGTTCCACTCCCCCCAGAGGGTGAGCGCAAACTTTTTTTTATTCCTCTCTGCTACTTAATAGTCGTAGCCTGTATGACTCAGAATCATAATGAAGGGCTAGTGGATGAATAGAAAGAGCACTGCATGCCATGCTTGACTTCTCTGTTATATAGACCCTTATTAATCTTCATAGTGGGGGCAGGAGTACTAGATTGGAGGTTCTTAGTAATGCTACAAATGGGTACGACCGTGTTTTACATTGTTTATTTGGTCACATGATCGCTCCCATAATAAAAATACCAAAGCCTGCAACCCCGCCACCCACATAATTTCATCCCAGCATCTGTAATGTATTCACACCTAGGCGTTTTAATGTACAAAGGTAAGCACAACAAAATGATCAAGACAAGGAATCCCATTAATTTCTATGGCCCCTGTTAACATCTGAACATTTTGCCACTGGACATTTCCTATTGAAGTCTATGGGACTAAATAGCGCTGTAATCTGGCAAAAAGTAGCTCATGTACTATTTCCCGTGACTGGCATTTTTCTGCTTGAGACAAAATGTTCAGATGTGAACAGGGGCCGTAGAAATGAATGGGATTCCTTGTTTTGAGTGTTTTGTTGTGCTTAGCTTTGTGCAACAAGATGCCTAGATGTGAATGGGCACTAAGTGGTGTACTCTTTTAAAATGGAACACAAAAGTCTCCCACTGCATTAAACTCAAGGACTATGACTGGGATGCCATACTCTGCAGCATGTTGCCTGTTAGACCTTAAGGCCCCGTTCCCACTGCGCGATATCGCGTTCAAGCTTGCATTGAGCAAGCTTGAATCACGGCTAAATCCGCTCCAGAAAGGGTCCTGCTGTAGCGACACACGACCCGCGACAGCAGGACCCTTTGCCCCATTGAAATGCAGTGGAGCGCGATATCGCGCGGTAATTTGCTCAATGTGAACGGGGCTTTAAAGTTGAACCAAAAGCATTTTATCTGCGATTTGGATGGAGTCGTGAGGAGGTAAAGCTACTGGTGTTTTTTTTTTTATTGCTGTCTGGGTCCCCATTGTGTAGATGTATGCTCTATAATTTTACTGGTGGCTAGGGATGAGCTCAAGTTCGGTCCAAACAAGGGAGTGCCATGAGCACTTTCACCCAATCAGCTGTGGGGTGGGCATTCCCTGCCCTGAAGCTGTATGTAAACAAAGGGGTGGAATGCATGTGCTGACATCATTTACCTTATATGGCCACATAGCCATATTAGGTAATTGTCTTTTTTACCAAATCTAGGCATGTAGTTGTATAAGGTCAATAACATCACTGCATCCCTCCCCTCTCCTTACATTCGGCTGCGAGCAGGATATTCCCTGCAACTGATTGGGCAGCACGGAATGAGCTTACTTCCGGGTTTACAGGAGGTCCTGGTGACTAGTGTCATTGGGAATCAAAGTGAGGGTAGATCCAACATTTTTAGTTATCGGTCTTCCAATGTGGACAACTGGTTTAAAGGGAAACATTTTTAAGAAGCACTTTGGGCAAAGTTTTGTTTTTTTAACCCTTGTAGTGGGGCTACCCACTGTAAGGTTTAACTGCTTGTTTTTGTCTATGTATAAAAATAACAGTTATACTCACCCAAGCCTCCAAGCTGGCTTGTTCTTAGACCATTTGCTGTAGGGGTTTAAGGATCCTGGTGTCATCACATTCTATACACAATGTATATGATGTGAGGATGCTGAGGGATATACCATCACTGCAGCAGAGAAGGACAGAGGCTGGGGGGGGTTAACTCCACTGCAAGGGTTAATAAAAGTTTGGCCCAGAGTTCTTTAAACATTTACTTGCTGTTAAAGATACATGTATAGGATCCAAACTGCACCAAGCCAGTTTGTGGATACTAGATATGCGCAAATAGTGTCCAGTCCAGGAGTTCATTTTTGTAGTCTTGTTGAATTCGGTATCTTTTGTCTTTCTTTCCTGCATCAAGGCTTCCTTGAGATGAAATAAAACGCACACACACACACACACACACACACACACACACACACACACTTGCAGTGCGCTTTTGAATGACTGATGCACCAGATTGTGATGACAGGTGTGATGATTTTTTTTTTTCCGGTAACAGACCAGGAGCTTCGGAATGTCATTGACAAACTAGCACAATTTGTGGCCAGAAATGGACCCGAATTTGAGAACATGACGATGGGGAAGCAGAAAGAAAACCCTAAGTTCTCTTTCCTGTTCGGAGGAGAATTCTTCAACTACTACAAGTATAAACTTGCCATGGAGCAGCAGCAACGTATGTGAAACTTTTCATAACCTTAATCCTTTATTTCCTGCAGCAACATTTCTGTCACTTACTCAAGAACTGTCATTTCATGCACATGTATTAATTGATACTTTGCTTAGATGACACGCATGTTTATAGAAAAAAAGAAAAAGCGACCAATGTGCTTATTCTACAACGTGCTGTCATTTGACTAATAAAAAGAAAAGCTCTGCTCCTTTATCTAGCTGCAACCATTGGATCCTTATATTAAAGTAGAATTAAAGCACCCTTTTTTTTGGCATATTTCTACTCCTAGTAAGCGGTAGATGTATGCCCCAACATCAAAAAAAAAAAAGTTGGTAAATATCAACTAACTTACCTGTGTCATCGCCGCTTGCTCCTGGCTGCAGAAGTCCCTGTCGGCTTTACAATCGAAACGATTCTGGCGGCTCAGCTGCCGCTAGATCGCTTCTACGGGCCAGTAAAAGCCCGACACCCCCACCATGTTTCCCTCTGCCCTTCTATGGGCCTTAGTGCTCGGCTCCTGAAGCCCAGCACTAAGCTATTGAACTGCGATCTGCACTTCAATAGCTTTTTTAAAGTGAAAAGGTGACACAGGGTCTTTTGGACCCCCAGTATCACCTTAAAGAGGGCCTGTCACTGCTAATATGCTATCACATGGGGGCTTGTAATCCCCCCTATGCCATAGCAATTAAACACTTGCTGACTGGGGTGTTTACACCCCCTTCCTGTCCAAGCTTTTTTTCAGTATTCAGCGCTGCGGTACTTTGACTGATATTTATTCCGTCATGCAACGCTGTACTGAAATTAATTTTATGTAATTTTTTCCCCAGTCATCTTCCAGGACAGCCAATGGGAGAGAGAGGGCTCCACCCACCTGAAAATGGAAACCCATCATCCACATTAGATAAAAAGACACTCCTACAAACCTACCTCAGTTCTTTTGTGTTTCCTTCGGCCGAACAGGAGCATCTTAATGTCTGTTGTTTTACTTCAGGCCATCTTGCAAGTTGCAGGGGCCTCCCATGCTATGCGGTCTCAGAACCAGGGACAGTGGATCCTGGAGATTGGCATAGGTGGGCTTCCAGATCGGACCCCCCCACCCAATTATAGGCCAGGGTTTCCTTCCACATTTGAAGGGTCGGCAACCATCCTCCAAGGCGTGAATGACTCCAGATGAAAATCCTCCTGTGTGTGTCTCAAAATAACATGTGTTATTGTCCTGCTTCCCTGCAAGGGGGTCCACCTCCCAATTAGTGGCTCCACTGCACTGACTCAGTGTGCCCCTGTGTTGCTTCACTCCCTTTTCCCACACTGGGGGCCCAAGGATCGCCCGATGGTTGGCCAGGTACCCCTGTGGTGTCGGGGGTTCCCCACAAAGGTTGTACTGGGGTCCCGCCTTCCGGACATGCCTGCTGAGGTGGGATTGGAAGGGGAGTCACCACTACTGGAAAGGTGGCACAGGTATTAGAATTCTTACAAGGACTAGATAGGAACCTTGCTTGCAGCACCCTGAAGGTACAGGTGTCGGCACTGTCCAATTTTTTAGATGTCAGGCTTGCAGAGGTACCCCTTGTTCGAAGATTCCCGAAGGCGGCAGGGAGATTGAGGTCCCTAAAGGTTAAAAGTTTTTCCGTATGGGACCTGTCCGTAGTGCTTCGGGGGCTCCTCGGACCACCTTTTCGAGCCGCTTAGACTGTTCATCAGGGCACTCACTTTAAAAGTAGCGCTCCTGGTAGCTCTAGTGTCTGCCAGGAGAGTCAGTGAAATTCATGCTTTTTCCATGCGGGAGACCTATTGCACGATCTTGTCAGACAGAATGCTGCGACCTGTTCCAGCCTGCTTACTGAAGGTAGCCTCTACATTTCATAGGACACGGGGATTGTTATACCTTCCTTTTCAACTAATCCAAGTGACGGCACGGAAAGGGGATGGCAGGGCATCGATGTGAGACGATGCATGCTGGAGTATCTGTCCAAGACTAGTGACTGGAGGAGGTCGAGTAACCTTTTTGTCTTGTTCCAGGGACCAAAGAAAGGCAGTAGGGCATCCAAAAGCAATATAGCTAGTTGGATTAGGGTTGCCATTTCCGAGACCTACCAATCTCAGGGTAAACAGTTACCTGAACGTTGCACGGTGAGCTTGGGCTACCTCTTGGGTGGAATGTGCAGGGGCAACACCAGATCAGATCTGCAGAGTAGCCACTTGGTCCAGCTTCCAAACATTCGTCAGACACTAAAGGCTTGATCTGCTGGCTCATTAGGACCAAGCATTTGGCAGGAGGTAAACAGTGGTCCCACCCTAAGTGAGTGAGCATGGTTCTCGCTAATCCTCTGGCTGTCCTGGAAGATGACTGGGGAAAACATGAGTTAGTTACCTGGTAACTCTGTTTTCAGGAGTCTTCCAGGACAGCAAGTTCCCTCCTGATGTAAAAAATTGAGGGGGTGCTAGACCCCGAGGGGTCAGGCGACATGAGCATTAGAAAGATGGAGAAGGTGTTGCGTGACTACTCATGTGACGGCCTTCGGTCTTTAAAATTACTGAGTTGGGTTTGTAGGAGTGTCTTTTTATCTAATGTGGATGATGTGTTTCCTGTTTCAGGTGGGCGGAGCCCTCTCTCTCCCATTGGCTGTCCTGGAAGATTCCTGGAAACAGAGTTACCAGGTAACTAACTCATGTTTTTGGGGACAGATAGAGCTTTCTTTTGGTGGTATTTAATCACCACTGGGGGGTTTTATTTTTTACTATATAAGGAAAATGTTGATTATAACGTGTGCAATAAAGGCATTGGCAGTGAAAGGGTCCTTAAGGGGTTAATGTACACAGAATGAGAGAATAACATGGATACCTAAAGCTTATCTTTTTAGGAGCAAATTCATTGTCTTGCTGTCTCCTGTGTCAGTGCATTAAGCCACTGACTGGAGACAAGCCTGCAGCCTGTGAGGTCAGAACTCCTGATTTGCATTATGATTTTAGGTTATTGATGTAATATTTTTAATCCAGGGGAAGAACATGACAGCCAGGCAACTAGCATTTTTAGGAAGGGGGTCAGCAGTAGCCCTTGTATTCGATCAATTTAATCGAATACAATTTTTTAAAAATACCATCCTTAATTTTGAGGAACTATGAGGTGCAGGGATCCCCTCTCCGATCCTCCAGCGCTGACTGGCGGAACGGACGAGGGCGGGTACTGATGGCTCTGCCTCTAGATAGCTGGGTGGATCCAGACAGTAATGTTGGGATCTGTCCCAGCTGTGGCAGTCTCGGTATACCGCGAGCTGTAGGTAGCGATATACTGAGCTTTGGGTCACGGGAGAACGCTAGTTTGTGTCCTCCCATTACCCTTAGGAGAACTATGGGGAAAAACACTGACCCCATAGTTCTCCTTTTAAAATAAAATACACAAATGCAGTGTTACAAACATAAAGAATAAAACTGCATGCAAAACTTTTTGCGATACCGTGCGGGCAATCACACTGTGGGTGGGAGGCAGGTTTTGGGGTGCCATTGAAATGAAAAAGGCACTACAACGCACCTCCCGCAGCAGAATTTGTCCGGCCAAAACCGGAAATTACTTTTTTTTTTCACCCCACCTTTTCTATTTTATTTTAATTTATTTTCTTAATTGTTTTGTAAGCACATGGCGCTCGAATGGCTTCAGCCCGGGAATGACAGCTGGCGGTGGCAAGATTCCGCAGGCAGCAGCTGAATGTAAATACAGCAGGTAGTGGGCTGGTGCATTAGCCAGCCTGCTATTGGCCATTTCAAATTGCAATAGCCAAAAGCAGATCGGCTATTGCATCCGCCCACTGTTTGCTGTGCCCTCCCAGCATACAGGAGAGAGCTAGGGGATCCAACCAACTAATCGATAATGAAAATAGTTGAGATAGTTGGTTGCAGCCTTAGTATACACATGTTTACATGCATTTAGCCACTTTAGAGCTTCTGACTGGATCATGGGAGCACCAGATTCTGTAGTCTCTAAATAAAAAGGGGAATCTGTCTTTTCTAGATGTAATGGGCACATCGCAGCTCAGAATTGAAATGTCTGTTTGCTTTTTCTTTTGTATCCAGTGCTTTGCAAGCAAGCCCAGGACATAGAGCCCAGTCCTCAGATCACTATTCCCCCTCCAGCATTGCCTCTACCCCCTACTCTGGTTCCACCTCCGCAAGGTGCACCTTCTATAGAGGACCTTATACAACAAAGCCAGTGGAATTTGCAACAGCAAGAACAGCAGCTGCTCACAATGAGACAGGTATCAATATAGCCTTTTTTTGCCCATATAATAACGAATTGTTACAGCATGTCAGGACTAGAAAATGAATAACATAAATGAACAGTAAAAGTATGTCAATTTGAGACCTCTGAACATTTCCTGTGTCTCAGGAGCAAGTCACGGCTGCAGTGGCACATGCTGCTGAACAACAGTTGCAGAAATTGCGTGAAGAATCGCATCTGGACACGACTGAGTTTGATAACTTGCTGCAACCAATCATTGACACGTGTACCAAGGATGCCATATCGGTAAGTTATCCTCTTTTCTCATTGCTTGTTGGCGACCTCAAAAACTAAAGGTTTCTCCTCCACTTTACAAATAAAGCTTTCACAAAAATGCTGACAATAACGCCACCATTTCTAATGGAACCTGTTGTGACGGTGGACTTGCTCAGATGGTAACTCTGGCAGGAGGCAACGTACAATAAAGCCTCTTTAACCAGTTGACATCCGCGGTGTTAAACCCCCTTCCCATCCAGGCCATTTTTCAGTATTCAGCGCTGCGGTACTTTGACTGACATTTATTCCGTCATGCAGCGCTGTCTGGGGACAGATAGAGCTTTCTTTTGGTGGTATTTATTCACCACTGGGGATTTTATTTTTTACTATAAAGGAAAAATTACCGATTTCAAAAAAATAACTATATTAAATGATAAAACATTTATTATTACCCAATTTTTTGGTAAAATATAAAAGACGGGGTCACGTCGGGTAAAAAGACACCAAACATGTCGAGCCTTAAAATTGCGTGCGCGCGCGAAACCTCAAACGATAATACCCAAAATTGGCCGTAGGCGACGCTTTAAAAGCTGTTACTGCTCATCAGTTTAGTGTTATCAGTGATTGATGGCCCTAAAATGATTGCTCTCACTGCGACGTTCGCGGCGATATGTAACGTGTAGCGCAATTGTAATTTTTGCGCGCTGGGGCACCGGATGCG